TAAATTTCCAGGGGCTTGTCAACACTCACATTTCATCCTGGGCCCTGAGGTGGGGCTCAGACCCTGAGTGTTTGAGCAGCACTTCAGTGATGCCCATGCCGCCGCCCCATGGGTCACATAGTACTGAGGGTTGAAGATCTGGGTTCTGGTCAGAACTCTGTTCTCCAGAGGGTCCTCTGCTCAGAACTTAGAAGCCAGAATCTTCATGGCACTCCTGGTAGAGCCATCAGAACGTCCCTGTCCAGCCACCCTGCAGAGCAGCCCAGAACCCACAGGAAACAGACATCTCCTCCAGACCTTCCAGACCACAGGCGACCTCACAGTGGCCCAGGTGGCCCAGGGAGGAGAGAGGTGCAGGGAGAGAAGCTGAGCAAGGACAGAGCCAGAGACCCAACATCTAAGTCACCAGCAGGCAGGTAGGGAACCTACAAAGGGGCTGGAGAAGGAGCCCCAGCAGGGTGGGGAGCCCCAGGAGGGAAGTGTTGCCATGGAAACCAGAGAGGAAGTGATCACCAAACTCCAGGGTTGTAGAGAAATCACAGAAGTTAGAGACTAAAAGGTAGTTCCAAGTGGGGTTGAACAGTAAGCACTCACTCAGCTCCTAGGACTACAGCCCCAGTCCTCAGACAGCAGAGGCGCTGGGGGGATGGGTGTGTGCCAGGGAGCAGAGGAAGGGCATAGCCAGAGGCTGGGAAGGGACGAGAAGTTTAGTCAGATAGGGAGAGAGGCAAAGCAGTGACTGAGGGTTGGTAGGGACCAGCGGGTCTCTTTCCTTTGGAAGAGTGAGGCCGAAACCAGCAACGAAATCATAAACAAAGAGAGTAATGGGAGCAAAAATGGGCCCTCAAAGGGCAGAGCCCCGAAAGCTGGCACGAGGTGTACAGGATACAGGGAAAGGAGGGGAGGACAAGCTTCCTTTGGGGCAACAAGGAAGGTGGTGGTGGAACAGGCAGGAGGGTCTCCTACTGAGAGGGAAGGAGAAGTTTGAAAGTGGCCACTCTGGGGAGCGGACTTCCTATGACTCTGGGGGCGCATGATGGGGGGCTGACTTTCCCTAGCAGCATTAAACTGCCCAGAGGTCAGTTCTGAGAAAGGAGTGCTTGGCTCCATCCATGGCTGGGGTGTTGCCTGGGGGGGACTGAATCCAAGAAGAGTGATGTGGGAGATGTGACCATACCTGCAAGAGAGAGGTGGTAGTGATGCTTTGTGGACGCTAAACAGGAGAGGAAGAGAGGAAGGCAAGAGGGAGCCCAGAGGTAGGGAGAAAACAGGGGTCTGGGATGTCCTGTGCTGTGTTTCCAGCATGATTGACTGAGACAGGCATAAAGGAAAAAATTATGGAGAAAGTGAGAATATTTAATTCTAAGACAATGACATACGTGGGTGGTAGAGAAACAATGATAATAATTAGAGGTGACCGGGTAAGTGGAATCTAGGATGGTGGACATCACCACCAAGGGTGGCTACCGAAGATAATTATTTCCAAAGTCCCACAGCTCAGAGGAGACCCATCCAGCACCCTATCCCTGGGATGTGGACACTGAAGAAAATTACATTCTCAGAACAGCACTCTCTTTGTGCTGATGAACAGCTAGAGATGTGGTGGTGACATCTGAGAGCAAGCTCCCCACTAATTGGGTGAGAACCAGGACTGGGACCACAGTCAGGCATGAGGCACTGTGGTCTCTGGGGAAAGCTCCAGGGTGGCAGCCTTGACTTCCCCAGGGCAAGGGGTATCTTTGTGGGCTGGCCTTGTCCATCTAATGACCCAGAAACAGGGGAGGCATCCCCAACACACACAGAGTGAATGGGAGTGGAAATAAGGCACAGGACTTTGGAGCAACATTGTCTCATAAAGAAACAAAGGGAACACAGTACAGGCAAGCCAAGTTCCCCTGTAGGGAAGGATTCCTTACTTGTTTTTCCTGCTAATGAGTCTAATAATTTATGTCCCCCTCACGCTGGGTTTTAGTGCCAACATTAGGTACCAATCAACTCTGCTACGTAAGTATTACATCCATTATCTTATTTAATCCTTATGACAACCTTGAACTTGAAAAATGTGAACTGGCTTACATGCAATTCTACATGAACACTTCTGCTTACTTAAATAGGGAAATGCATAAGGACTTAAGCAGAAAAATTAGTTTAAAATCTTCTTCATTCAACCAAACATCTATTCAAGTAAGTCAACCTGACATCTACATGCAAAGAATGGATTTGGACCCTTACCTCACAACATATACAAAAAATTAACTCAAAATCTATCATTGATCTAAGTATAAGAGCTAAAACTGTTAAAATCTTAGAAGAAAACATAGAAGTAATTCTTCACCGTCTTGGGTTAGGCAAAGGATTCTTAAATATGACACCAAAGGTATGAGCAATGAAAGAAAACTTAAATAAATTAGACTTCATAAAAATTTAAAACTTTCGTGTACCAAAGAACATTATCAAGAAAGTGAAAAGACATCCTATGAAATGAGAAATTTTTCACAAATCTTATACCTGATAAAGGTCTAATATCCAGAATACATAAAGAATACTTACAACTCAATAATAAAAAGACAGACAATTTTAAAATGGGCAAGGGACCTAAGTAGACACTCTTCCAAGCAAGATATCAACAAATGGCCAATAAGCACATGAAAAATGATTGACATTGTTAGTTACTAGGGAAATGCAAATCAAAACCATAATGGGATATCACTTCATACCCACTAGGATGACTATAATCAAAAAGTCAGATAATAATGAGCTTGGCAAGGATGTGGAGACATTAAAACTTTCATATACTGCTGATGGGAATGTAAAATGGTACAGCTGCTTTAGAGAATAGTCTGGCAGTTCCTCAAAAAGTTAAACAGAGAATTACCATATGACTCAGCTATTCTACTCTTAGGCATATACCCAAGAGAAATGAAAACATCTGTCCATACAAAATCTTATACATGAATGTAGCTGCATTATTCATAAAAGTCAAAATATGGGAGCAACTGAAATGTCCATCAGTGGATGAATGAATAAGCAAAACATGGTTTATTTAGAATAGTATTCGGTCATAAAAAAGAAAAGCAGTACTGATCCATGTTACAACTTGGGTAAATCTCATAAACATTTAGCTAAGTGGAAGAATCCAGACACAAAAGATCACATACTGTGTATTTCAGTTTATAAGATATATCTAGAATAGGCAAATCCATAAAGACAGAAACCAGAGTAGGGGGGAGAGCAGAATGGAAAATGATTATTTAGTCAGTATGGGGTGTTTTATGGGATAATGAAAAATTCTGCAGCTAGAATGAGCTGATGACTGCCAAGCACTGTGAATACACAAGACAGCACTGAACTGTACACTTTAAAATGGCTAATTCTATGTTATATGAATTTCACCTGTCAGTAGTGTGGTGAGCGGCTGCACAAAGATAGAAAGGACATGCCAGTTCTGAAAGGGACACGACAGCTGCTCTCTTCTGGGCTGGGGGCAGGTGGCTCTGGCTGAAGGTGAAGAAAGTCAAGGCAGGCCTCATCATTTCTCCAGGGTCTGGTGATGAGTGAAACCTCAAATCAGTGCCCTGGGCTTCCCCGGTAGCTTGGTGGTAAAGAATCCCCCTGCCAACACAGGAGACTCAAGTTCGATCCCTCATCCAGGAAGATTCCACATACCATGGAGCAGCTAAGCCCATGCTCAACTGCTGAGCCTGTGCTCTAGAGCCCGGAAGCTGCAACTACTGAGCCCGTGCGCTGCACCCCTGGAGCCTGCGCACCCTCAAACGTACGCTCCACAAGAGAAACCACTGCAGTGAGAAGTCTGCACACCACAATTAGAGACTAGCTCTTGCTTGTTGCAACTGGAGAAAAACCCGCACAGCAATGAAGACCTAGCACAACCAAAAATTAATTAATTAAACTGTATCTTAAAAAACAAACAAAAAAACAGTGCCCTGGTATCCTCTCCCTGTCAGCAGCTACTGGTCTTGAAAGTGACCAAATTCAGTTCTGACAGTGCTGTAACCCCAGGCCTGCAGGTTTAGGGAAAAGCATCAGGAAAAAGACAGCAAAGAAATTCACAAAGGAAAGGTATTTATGTTTCTTATCTTTCCTTAAATGGAATACTTTGTTGTCTCCTTCCCCAAGTTTAAACACATCCTCCTAATTAATAATCCACTACAGTTCATCTTCTAAACCCCAGACATTTCAGAATAGATAGTCTCTCTAAGAACATCTCATCAACTCCTCATTTTAAGGATGGGAGAAGTGAGGCTCAGAAGGAGAAAGGAGTTAGTGACAAAAACAGGATGAAAACCTGGTGTTTTGTCGTCTAGGCCTTTTCATATTTACTGATGCACAAGTCATTGTTTCAGTGCTTCAGAAGGTAAGGATGCTAGGAGGAAGGAACAAGGTTTCAGGATGGTGGCTTAATAGAGAGGGATGAGGTCAGGAAAATTCTTAAACTTGCAGGAAAGGGAAATGATGACATCTGTGAGTGTTTCTCATGTACCTTATCCATGTGATGGCTCAAAGCTTGAAGAGAAGGCGGTGAAAGTGTGCAGTGAGGAAATTACAAGTCTTGGGTGCAATCTCGAGGCCTCCAAGCTACCCCTGGGTGATAGAGGAACTGTAGCTCATTTTAGCATCCTGACATGCCTTAGTCACCTGGGAAGAAGTGGGCCAGCAGTGGAGAGGCACAGGTAGGTTAGAGAATGACCTCGAAGGCTGTGTCAGCCTGTCATCATCGCAGGTCTGGGAATAGACTGATGGCATGGAGGGGCCAGACCACGTCCTCCCGTCAGGCAGAGCAATCATGGCCAAGGCGTTTCTTCCCATCTTCCCTCCCGCCCCTGTAGTGCTCCCACCATGGCTGACACCTTCCGGCACCATGGCATGACATGTGGAGCCACCCTGCAGACACCTGCATCTCCCAGGTCTGGTCAGGAGCAGCTAGCTGGCCAACGATGTGTTTTTCCCCACGGCCGGGAGCCCCAGGGGGTACTCACAGCTGGCAGGCCACTGGCCCAGTGTTATTTTGAGATCCGGCTCCGTGATGGGCTGTTGTGACAGCTTTGTTCTCTCGGGCCCCTTTGATTAGTGAATCTCCCTTTGTGGCTCATGGGGGATGCCCAGCCCTGCTGTTTCTGGGCTCCGGCATCCCCCTCAGCCAGGCGGGCCGGGCCAGCTGCCATGGGGGCGGCGGACAGAGGGCGGGAGCAGCAGGACTCGGAGCTGGGCAGCCGCTGGCTTGGGCAGCTCGAGGCTTCGCTTCTAGGCAGCGTGGGGCTGACTGGGTGGTCGTGGAAGAATGATAAGTGCCTACTCAGAGCCAGTTCTGAATGGCCGGATCACAAACCGCAGGACTGGACAAGGGCTGCCCTGCTGTGCTTGGGCCTCGGCCCGGAGCTCTCTGCAGCGTCTGTGAGGCTCGGGGCTGAGCCCCAGAGAAGCTGCCGGAGACTCACAGGGCAGCCAGCCCTTGGGAAAGAGTATCTGGAGCCTGGGAGGGCTCTGCTAGCCAAAAAAGACTCCAGGCCTGTCAGACAAGGCCTGTGGGAGCCCATCTGTGGCATTTAACTTCAAGGCAGGCTGCGTCAGGGAGCAGAGAGAATGGCAGAGCCGAGGACAACTGGGTGTACATCCCAGTTCTGCTCCCAGCTGGTGCTGAGACCCTGGGCCCATTACTGAACACCTAATCTCTCACCTGTAAAAATGGAATTCTAAGATGCTCTCTGAGTTGTGAAGACTTTAACTGAGCTATAACACATACAGATGCGCTCAGCAGTGTACCTGTTTGGTAAATGCAACCACACACACATACACAGAGCTGCCTGTCTCCTTCTGGGGTGGAGATGGCTTATTTTCAGCTGCTGCCTGTCTAAGTGTCCCCTCCATCCTCATGAGTCCATGAATCCTCCCTGAAATTGATACATCCCCAAGTCACTGAGGGCCAGACTTCAGACACCAGACTGAAGGCAGCTGAATTCAGCATATCTTGACTGCTGACTCCCCACACCAACTCAGCAGACACTTCAGTCAACAGGGCCTTTTTTGGCAGCTGCAAATTTCATAGTTATGGGTGTTCCTTCTAGCTAGACAGTCGACTTCCACAGGGCAAAGCCTCCTCCTATAGAACAGGTGAAACGTAGATCCCAGATCAAGGCTTGTTGACTAAAAGTAGAAGGAGGGAACTGAGGAGCTTTGTATATCCTGCAAGGTGTGACTCACCCCAGAGTTTCAGGGTCTCAGCCCCAAGGCCTCAACCACCTGGAGGAGATGGCATAAGAGCGAAAAAAATATCATATAATATTTTACAACACAAAAGATAAATTCATAGCCATTGAGAGAGAAAACAGAATCACCTATAAATGAATAAGAATCAGACTGTCATTTCATTAACAATTGTTGGCAACATGGGAGATTTTTAACATATACTATGTTTCTTAGAGAGCTTCCCAGGTGGCACTAGTGGTAAAGAACCCACTAGCCAAGGCAGGAAATGTAAGAGACATGGGTTCCATCCCTGGGTCAAGAAGACCCCCTGGAAGAGGGCATGGCAACCCACTCCAGTATTCTTGCCTGTAGAATCTCACGGACAGAGGAGCCTGGAGGGCTACAGTTCACAGGGTCGCAAAGAGTTGGACACAACTGAAGCGACTCGGTACAACACACAGCACATGTTCCTTAGATGGGAAGACTTCATGTTCTAAAGATACTAATCCTCCTCAAATGAACCCAAATATCAGACTGTTCTCCCTAACTCCTGACAGCTAAAGCTTGTCACTTAAAGATTTTGAAACTGTAACCAGTACTGCAAAGAATCAGAGGACCGTTCAGAATTTAATAATGGTGGTGATGGAGATGGTGGGGAGAGGTGCTGGTAGCAGTGGAGCTCATGGCACTCGGGCTGATGGTGGTGGGAGTGAAGATGGGATGGCAGCAGAATCAAGAGAACAGCCTCTTGACAGCAGGCATCCAGGGACAAGAGCATCAGTGGTACCCGGTGTCCTGAGGATATCATTCCTCTGTGTTCTTGTTTCTCCAGCCTCTCCCTAATCTGACCTTTTTTTTTACAAAGCCTGTTTCCAAACACTCCCTCTTTTCACTAAACTATCCAGTATTCTTCTAATAAATCTCATCTCTGCCTAAGTTAAATAACACCAGTTTCTATTGCTTGCAAACAATAACATTGACTGGCACAAAGAATTTTCTAATCCTGAGAAAGAACAAGCTTTTATAAGCAAGGCATGGAAGCAGAAACATTATTTTGAAAATAAAAGACTGATTAATTGGACCACAAATCTTGAAACAATCAGATAGAAAAAGTGACATACTCCACTTTAGACCTAGGGACACACACAAAGTGCAAGTGAGGGGATAGGGAAAAATATTCCATGTTAATGAAAATTAAAAGAAAGCTGGAGTAGCAATACTCACATCAGATAAAATGACTTTAAAATAAAAACTGTTATAAGAGATAAGGAAAGACACTGCATAATGATCAAGGAATCAATCCAATAAAAAGATATAATAATTATAAAGATTTATCAACATAGGAGCACCTCGATACGTAAGGCAAAGGCTAACAGCCAAAAAGGGGGAAATCAACAGTAACACAATAATAGTAGGGGATTTTAACACCCCACTCACACCAATGAACAGATCATCCAGACAGAAAAGGTGACATACCATAGACAAAGAGGAAAGATTGATAAACATATGATAAAATGCTCACTCTTTCTAGTAATTAAGTAGATGAAAATTAAAATAATGATATACAACTTTTGCCCTTCAGCTCAGCAGAAATATAAATGATATTTAACACCCAAGGTGTAAGCGAGTGGGAAAAACGAACTCTCTTACAACGCAATGGGGAAATCAAAGAGGAATTACTTTGACTGGAAAGTGAATACCTGATGCAGGAATTTCTTCTACTCAAAAATGTTATTTCAGAGTTTGTATCCTATGAAAATACTTGCATAAAACACACAAATGTTAGTAGCTAGATTATTTTTTAAGATTCAAAAACTGTGGATAACCTAAGTATTACCAACAGGAGTGTGATTAAACAAATATGGAAAAACATAGGATGAATTAAAAAGAATAAAGAGTTCAGTTGATCTCTACTGACTTAGAAGACCCCTTCGTGTATTGTTTAGTGGGGAAAAAAGCCACTGAAAAACAGTCTATGTGGTGTGATTCCATGTCTCCTTTAAAAACTTAAAATTGCAAAAAGTTGGCTTAGATCACATTTTTTCCCTTATACACCTCTGTAACAAATAATACCATACAATTATCAAGTTCTATTTTTGCAATTTCTTATAAAAATAGAAAGGAGCGGCATCAACAGGAATATCCTTTTAGGGATAAATCACCAGGAGGGTTTCACTATTGTCATTGTGTCATTGTGAACCGGCTATGAACAGGCTGGATGAGGGGTGGAGCTTCTGCTATGTCCTATGCTTTCTTGCAGTGGTAGGTGGAAGAGGCAGAGGGTATCTGATTTTATCTTATGGCCTCAGAAAAATTCCTCTGGAGTCTAGGTCAAGCAAAGGAAGGAAACACTGAAAAGAATGATCATTACATTGCTTAAGAACTACCCTGGCCACCTTAATATTCCATCAGAAGAGTGAAGTTAACTAGAAGAAAAGCCCCAATGCAATAAACGGAATCACAGATGAAAAGATGTTTGTTTGACCCAGTAAGTACAATATACTGTGCCACAGCACATCCTGATTGAATATTACTAAGGGGCTGCCTGTATTTTTGAGCGTAAAGTCTCTTTGATTTATGGAGCCAAAGTAAATGACAAGCAGGGCCAGTAAAAATTCTTTAGAGATTCAGGCTTACTTTCCATTCCATTTTGTAGAGGAGGTGAAAAGACGTGCATGCTTGTAATGGGACTTATAAGCATGGATTTCTTAGTGAAACTCGTGAACCACAAATGGAGCATTTGTTCATCTATGTCGAGGGCAATTCTGTTGTCAGAAGGGGACTTCCATCCAGGGCGGGTCCCAAAGTAGGAGTATAGCTTCATCTGGGGGAGGCCTGAACTAGATAAACATTTTGTCCACCGCTGGGAGTCTACTGAGCAGCCTCAGGGGGACCTGAGGAACAGAGTTGTTCAGGAGCTGCGTTCCTGAAAAGCATGATCCACATTCCCTGTTCCCAGTGGGTCAGCCTTCCTTTCAAAAGAACCTGGAGGAGAATGGACTTCAGAAAAGTGAGTGTAATCATGAATGAATGAATGAATGAATGATCTGTTCCTTACCTAAGTTGAATCCTCGAACAAAACCTGAGAGGAAATATCCACTGAAAGTCATAGGAGGTAGCGGACTTGAGATGAATTTGGGTTCAAACCATACTCGTGACTAACTTTGGGTAAGTCATTTCTTTGAACCTTGTTTTTTACTTCCATTAACTGGGCAAGATATCATAGGACTGATATTCACATTAACTGACCTAATATATTAGTTTGCTGGGGCTGCCATTAACAGAGGACCACAAACTGGGAGTCTTGAACAACAGAAATCTACTGTCTCACAGTTCTGTCAAGGGAAGCCTGAGGCTTGAAGTATTGAGGCTAGAAGCTCCAGACTGAGGTGTCAGAAGCTTTCTGGGGTCTGTGAGGGAGTGCCTGTTCCACACCTTTCCTCTGCCTTCCGGTGGCTGGGTGTCAATCTTTGATGTTTATGGGCTTAGCAAAGACAAACTCCAAATTCTGCCTTCATTTTCAAGTGGCATTTTCCCTGTGTGTGAAAGTGAAAGTGAAGTCACTCAGTCATGTCCCACTCTTTGCGACCCCATGGACTTCAGCCCACCAGGCTCCTCCATCCATGGAATTTTCCAGGCCCTTTTTGTATAAGGACACCAATACATGAGCCCACCTTAGTGACCTCATATTAACTAATTACATTGGTAATGACTCCATAGCCAGGTAAGGTCACATTCTGAGGTAATAGGGGTGAGGACTTCAACTTAAATTTCTGAAGGACACAATTCAACCCACAAGTGAAAATAATGTAAAATGACTGGCATATCATAGTTTCTCAATAAACATAAAGAAAATAATTGCATGTTGAAATACTACTATTTTGGAACTGTTGAGTTAAAAAAATATATTACTGGAAATAATGTCACCTGGTTTTCCCTTTTCTAATGTGGCTATGAGAACTTATAAAATTACATATTTGGCTCCTATCTGTGGCTCAGATTCTGTTTCTATTGGACGGTGCTGGTCTAGAGTCTGAAGTGGTAGACAAAGCATGAGCTTTTGAGTCAACAGCTCTACACTCCAATCCAAACTCTGTCATTACCAGCCTTGTCGACAAGGGTAAATAATTTAACCTCTATAACCCTCAGATTTCCCATAGGTGAGATGGAGATAAGAGTGGATTTCACGGTATTGTGGTGAGGATTACGTGGGATCAGGTACATAGGATACCCAGCAGGAGTTTGCTACCTGGAAAAAACTTGGTAAATGTGTGTCTCCAACCCCCTAATTAGGAGGAAGAGAAAACCACACTGTCAATGCACTCTTAATCAGCACCAGATGCAGGCCTAGTGGCTTTGCAAAGATGGAGTTCTGAGAAAGCACAGTGACGGAGGGGAAGTTCAAGCCTGCAGCCAAAGTCCTCCATGTCACTCTGTGTGGAAAGCTTTTAGGGTTTCGGGGGAGAAGGTCTTTATTTGAATTTATCTTCTTGCATTTCTTTCAGCTTGCTCTAAAATGTGGAATATGTCTGCTAAATAGAGAATTGTGCTGCATCAGTACTGGTGCTTCATGTCTGATGAAGTCACAGTTGTACAGTGTTCTCACTGTCCCAAAACCCAAACCTTAGAAACTCTGGGGAGGTGCTCTCATCTCCTGGTTTTCAGGCCACCTCTATCTCCCAAGAGCTCTGGGAACTACACCTTAGAGTACTCTCAGAAACCAGTCCAAGATAACCAGCCTCAAATGTAATAGTTCAGTTCAGCTCAGTCTCTCAGTCGTGTTTGACTCTTTGCGACCCCCTGAACCGCAACACACCAGGCCTCCCTGTCCATCACCAACTCCCGGAGTTCACCCAAACTCATGTCCATTGAGTCGGTGATGCCATCCAACTATCTTATCCTCTGTCATCCCCTTCTCCTCCTGCCCTCAATCTTTCCCAGCTTCAGGGTNAATCTTGATTCCAGCTTGTGCTTCCTCCAGCCCAGCATTTCTCATGATGTATTCTGCATATAAGTTTAAATAAGCAGGGTGACAATATACAGCCTTAACACACTCCTTTTCCTATTTGGAACCAGTCTGTTGGTCCATGTCCAGTTCTAATTGTTGCTTCCTGACCTGCATACAGGTTTCTCAAGAGAAATTGCAGTTTAGAGAAGCCAAATATCGTGTCATGGAGAGAAGGGTCTTATCTTGATTTGGTTGCCTAGATGTTCATGTTAAAGGCATGGGTGTATGGGGATTAGGGTGAGGGGGACGGTGTATTTATTGGCTGTACGTTGAGTCAAAGACCATGGTGGGCTGCTCGATGCATCAGATGGAGTCTGGAGGCACAGGGAGTCCAGAACATTGGTCCCAACGGCTCCATGTGCATGGGTTCATCTGAAGAATTGATCAGTTCTACAGACCACATTCTAAGAAGGGAAATTGATTGGTGGGGCTTGTCCTAAGGAAGATAAGCAAGTAGGAACCAGGTCACATGGAAACCATTGGCAGAATGGGAAGGTCTACTCTGAAAAGTGGAGACAGGGAAAGTCTATAAGAGTTGGGTTCCTTGTGTGTGAAGAAAGTTCTCGTTTCACTCTGCTGGCCCCTTTGGGTATGACAAAGACCAGTGGGTAAACTCTCTGGGAAAGAGGTGATTGCCTTCCATGGAGGAGAGTGCATTTAATGATTGATGTCTTCCCTTATTCCTAAAAAGATTTAAAATAAATGAAACAAACGGATGGACACCCAGTTCAGCAAGGTGTTTTGTTGGGTTGTGGGCTCCATGTCCCTGGAGACATCTGAGTATTTGCTGCCTGTGCTCCAGAGTGGAGGCCTTGGTTGAGGGAGAACCTCCAATTCTGGACTTGGAAGTGCAGATGGAGTTCCTGATAGCAGGTGGGGTGTTCGCATGAGGTTCAGAGGACCCGCCTGCTGCCTGCTCCTCAGCATGACAAATGTTGGGGCACTCTCAGGTCCATGTGCATGTTTGCAAAGTCATGCGTTTGGTTTCGAACCTTCTTATCTCCTGAAAAATATGCCAGCTATTCATAAATTTCACTTTTCCTACCCCTTCTCCAGGTTCTGGTAACCTCAGGCTCCTGACCCCACCATCAAGGTGAAAGAGACTCCCAGACCAGCCTTTTGTCTAACGGCCACATACAAAGGGAAACCCAAGCCGAGAGTGGACAACACACAGCTGGTGTGGATGGAGGAGGGTTGAGGCAGGTTGAAGGAAGAGTCTCCAGGACTGAGGAGGAGCTCCTGGGCTGGGGTAACGTGTGCCTACCTTGGCCTGGCTCTTGTTGTTTTCACCAGCCCTGCCTGCACCTTAGAATGAGCCAGCTCTAGGGATGGGCTTCTGTTTGGGCTGGGTGGGAGGTGCTTTCAGTGTTTTCCAACTGCAGTTGCCTTTGGGGAATGGGAAAGAGTGAGTCAGACACAGTTATTTGAACCTAGGACCCCCAGCCTGAACTCTGAAGAGACAGGAAGGCACATGGGTTAGTCACTGTGTTTCTGTGGGCCATGTTGGGGTTGGAGCCTGCTCACATGTTTTGCCATCACCAGCTGTTCCATGGGTGGGACAGGATGCTTGGGAGCAAGGGCTTCCATGGACTTGCCCCGGGCCAGCCAAGCACCCCAGCCTGGAATGCTCTTCAAGGCCTCTGAAGACCACAGCTCCCCACAGCTCTGGACAAGAGATGAGAGGTGGGGGGCGGGGAAAGGCCAGCCAAGAAGGGACTCACAGAGCTCCTCACGGTCAGATTTAGGCCAATTGGCTGGTCTAGAACAAGTGGACAAGGGGACTTGTGCTGCTCCTTCTGGGCACATGGAAGGTGGAATCCTCAGGTTGGCCTTTCACATGGGAGATCAAGAACCTGAAAGTGTATTCACACTGTTTGAAGTAGCTGTTCCACTCTGAGAACTGACTGTAAATAATTACTTCCAGATTTGAAAAAAATAAACTACCCAAAGATGGCCACTGCACTATTATTTATTACAGCCAATGCTTATAATGGACTAATTAGCCAATAATTTGACTAAATTAACCTACTTCATGTTCTCAGTCACTACTTGTGGTATTTAGGAAAATTTTGCAGTTACATGGAATATGTTTGTGTCTTTCAGTAAAAAAACATAAAATCACAATACAAATGTATATAATTGTATAGCCCCAGCTATGTGAAAAAACAAAAACACACACAGGAAAAGTCAAAGATGGAAGATACCAAAATGGTAGTTAACACAATGCAATAGGAATGAAGATTATATTTCTTCTCTCTTTAGTATCTTCCAAACTGCCTCTGATGAGTGGATATGTTTGATCATTGTTTTGATGTTTTTCAAAGTAACTTCAGGCTTAAAAAAAATCAGGAGCCCTTCCATGCCTCCAAAAGTGGTCCCGTGTATGGTAACAGAGAATAAGTTTTTTATGCAAGAGGTTTCTGCATTTCTGGAATTCAAAGAAATTTGAAGGCTCATATCATAGGAAGTTGCCTGAGGATGAAAGCGCTAGTTCCACCAAGCAGCCACTGGTCAGGGCTTTCATCTTGCGCTCCCCCACAGATCTTCACAAGGCCCAAAGAAACCCAACCATTTTTCAGGGGGGATTCTCAGTCCCCCATGAGGCTGCAGGGGAGGAAATATCTACCTTCCCAGTGTCCCTGACACAGCCCAGGGATGGACAGACCGAGGGTGTGGACTGACTACACATTCTTAGTCTCCTGACACAGTTCTGCCTCCTCCTCTCACGCTGATGGTCACAAAGTGAAAGATTTCCTCGCTCTTCCCATGAGTCTGGCCCCAGGACAGAGAGATGCAATTGTCACATGTGTCCCATTTACCAGCCTCAGAGGCTCTGACATTCATTGTGCCAGAGGAGTGATGAGATGACTCACACGTGGCAGGAACTGGCACATGTCTTTATGTTTCTCCACCACCACTGTTATTTTCCTGTTATCCCCACCAAATCAGGATGTTTTTGCCCTTCTGTTGGGTGTGCTTCCGGACCCCACATACTTGCACAAAAACAGTATTATGGTCTTTTCAAGAGCATCTATCTCCGAAGGGATTAAGCACTATCAACAAGGTGATTAACTACAAAAATCTCCTATTGGATCAACATGAAGTCTCTTGTTTCTGCCTCTGCCTCTGCCTCTGCCCCTGAGCAAGGGGGTGGAACAGCTGGCAGAGACCCCACCTGGATGAAACATCACTAGACTCTGCTGTGGACACTCACTTGGATCACAGACATGACTGAGGCCTAGAACATGTCTCCCCATGATTGTGCTGAGAGTCCCCAGTTATGTGCCCCTTAGGGAAGGAAAATAACATAGAATGAGCTCATGAACTCACAGGCCAGGACCCTGCTGCCTGTCCCCTGAGTTCCCAGGGGACACGAGCCTAGCACGAGCCCTGGCAGGAACTGGAGGAATGTGACTGAAAGGGCCATGATGCTTTCTTGCTCTAAAACGCTTGCAGCCCTGGAGCTCCCATCAACCCTAGGCTCCCAGGAGCCTGTCTCTGCCTACCCACCTTACATCTGGCTCTATCCCACTTCACCTGGCTCAACCCAGAGGGCCAGCCAAGCACCCCAGCCTGGAATGCTCTTCAAGGCCTCTGAAGACCACAGCTCCCCACAGCTCTGGACAAGAGATGAGAGGTGGGGGGCGGGGAAAGGCCAGCCAAGAAGGGACTCACAGAGCTCCTCACGGTCAGATTTAGGCCAATTGGCTGGTCTAGAACAAGTGGACAAGGGGACTTGTGCTGCTCCTTCTGGGCACATGGAAGGTGGAATCCTCAGGTTGGCCTTTCACATGGGAGATCAAGAACCTGAAAGTGTATTCACACTGTTTGAAGTAGCTGTTCCACTCTGAGAACTGACTGTAAATAATTACTTCCAGATTTGAAAAAAATAAACTACCCAAAGATGGCCACTGCACTATTATTTATTACAGCCAATGCTTATAATGGACTAATTAGCCAATAATTTGACTAAATTAACCTACTTCATGTTCTCAGTCACTACTTGTGGTATTTAGGAAAATTTTGCAGTTACATGGAATATGTTTGTGTCTTTCAGTAAAAAAACATAAAATCACAATACAAATGTATATAATTGTATAGCCCCAGCTATGTGAAAAAACAAAAACACACACAGGAAAAGTCAAAGATGGAAGATACCAAAATGGTAGTTAACACAATGCAATAGGAATGAAGATTATATTTCTTCTCTCTTTAGTATCTTCCAAACTGCCTCTGATGAGTGGATATGTTTGATCATTGTTTTGATGTTTTTCAAAGTAACTTCAGGCTTAAAAAAAATCAGGAGCCCTTCCATGCCTCCAAAAGTGGTCCCGTGTATGGTAACAGAGAATAAGTTTTTTATGCAAGAGGTTTCTGCATTTCTGGAATTCAAAGAAATTTGAAGGCTCATATCATAGGAAGTTGCCTGAGGATGAAAGCGCTAGTTCCACCAAGCAGCCACTGGTCAGGGCTTTCATCTTGCGCTCCCCCACAGATCTTCACAAGGCCCAAAGAAACCCAACCATTTTTCAGGGGGGATTCTCAGTCCCCCATGAGGCTGCAGGGGAGGAAATATCTACCTTCCCAGTGTCCCTGACACAGCCCAGGGATGGACAGACCGAGGGTGTGGACTGACTACACATTCTTAGTCTCCTGACACAGTTCTGCCTCCTCTTCTCACGCTGATGGTCACAAAGTGAAAGATTTCCTCGCTCTTCCCATGAGTCTGGCCCCAGGACAGAGAGATGCAATTGTCACATGTGTCCCATTTACCAGCCTCAGAGGCTCTGACATTCATTGTGCCAGAGGAGTGATGAGATGACTCACACGTGGCAGGAACTGGCACATGTCTTTATGTTTCTCCACCACCACTGTTATTTTCCTGTTATCCCCACCAAATCAGGATGTTTTTGCCCTTCTGTTGGGTGTGCTTCCGGACCCCACATACTTGCACAAAAACAGTATTATGGTCTTTTCAAGAGCATCTATCTCCGAAGGGATTAAGCACTATCAACAAGGTGATTAACTACAAAAATCTCCTATTGGATCAACATGAAGTCTCTTGTTTCTGCCTCTGCCTCTGCCTCTGCCCCTGAGCAAGGGGGTGGAACAGCTGGCAGAGACCCCACCTGGATGAAACATCACTAGACTCTGCTGTGGACACTCACTTGGATCACAGACATGACTGAGGCCTAGAACATGTCTCCCCATGATTGTGCTGAGAGTCCCCAGTTATGTGTCCCTTAGGGAAGGAAAATAACATAGAATGAGCTCATGAACTCACAGGCCAGGACCCTGCTGCCTGTCCCCTGAGTTCCCAGGGGACACGAGCCTAGCACGAGCCCTGGCAGGAACTGGAGGAATGTGACTGAAAGGGCCATGATGCTTTCTTGCTCTAAAACGCTTGCAGCCCTGGAGCTCCCATCAACCCTAGGCTCCCAGGAGCCTGTCTCTGCCTACCCACCTTACATCTGGCTCTATCCCACTTCACCTGGCTCAACCCAGCTCTCCTGTGAACTAATGGAAACACTCATTTCAGGAGAGGAAAGTTGTAGCCAGAAGAGCCCAGCCTCCCTGCACTGTGTCTGGGCCTGGGGTGGGGGCGTGCAGTCCCCAGGGTGGGCCAGCTGGGGTGGCCCATGGCTTCTATTCTTGGGGCCCAGTCAGGAGCACAGACACCCCCCTCCCCCAGCCACCCACACACCTAGTCAGGCAGATACCTGCCAGGCTGCACCATAAAACCCTAACTAGGCACATAAAAGCTGCCTGCCAGCCCTCTGGTGCCTCTGCTGGCTCCAGAAAGCCTCCTAGACCAGCCAAGACAGACGGAAAGGGTCCGGACACGGTGGCACCAGGGTACACAGGGTCCCCAGATGCCTGACACCTCGGCACAGATTGTAGCCACAGCAAGGCTATGGTGGCCAGTTTGAAGAATCACCTGGCTGCCCCCTGCCTTGGGAGTAGAAGAGACTTGGCATCACCAAAGTGATTTAAGGAATGATATTTAAGCCTTGGGATCCACCAGGGAAGGTGAATATTACGCCAAATGCAGACACTATGCTTGGAAAGTTGAAGGTCATCCAAGGTCATACAGTCAGAGGTCAGGCTAGTCCTCTACCCCTTGCTGTCTGCTGGGGATAGCCGCTCTCCCTTACTGCTCCCCTCCATGGACCAGGCTTTAGAGAACCACTTTTGGGTTGGCAGGAAGTTAGACCCTGTCCTCAGGGAGAGGAGAGAGCTACTGTTTCCAGAAACCCAGATCCAGGGAGGGTGATGGCTCCAGGAGATGTTGTGGTTGGCAAACCCTAGACCTGATCCTGCTTCATGACTCTTAGTTAATTGTCTCGTCTGAAGGGAGGACCCAGGCCCCAGGCATCTGCCCATGAACAGTCTTTGAGTTTCTTAAACTGCCCTGAAAAGCCACATCTCTTCTTCAGTGGACATCAGATGCTTCTGCCTTCTCTCCTAAAGACTTACCTCTGTTGTGTTGGTGGCTGTGCAGAATCTACAAAGGCCAGGGGTTGCCTTCCACCATACTTGCAGTTCTTGGAAAGACCATGCCTCTTCCTCTCCCTCTGACTCTGTATACTCCCTTGGCTGGAACATCCCTCTTTTCTCTCTCCTTATGCTGTTTCCTTCTCGGCCCAGTCAACACCACCTCCAGGAAGCTTTCCTGGACCTCTCCACCCAGGCTCAGTTAGGTCTCCCAGTGACATCTCTACCATCACTTTCACTCCACACCTACCTCTCTAACCTCATCTTGTGACCCACCCCACCTTCCTGTCAGGTCTTGGAAGCCTCGAACCCACCTGCATTTTCTGCATTCCCAGAACTACCTGCCCCAGCACTCAGCTCATCATAGATCCTCAAGAAATATTGTTAAACGGATGCTGAACAGGAAAAAAATTTCCATATCCTACGGATGCAGTGAGAGTCCAGAAACAAGACTCCAAA